CCCCCCCCCCCCCCCCCCCCCCCCCTTTCCCAGCTCACTGCTCCTTCTCCTGGTGCTCCTCTTCCCTGGCTGCCCTGGCTGCAGTCCCTTCCCCAAGGGCCTGTTCACTTTGTCAGCTGCCCTCATCATGCCACTGTAGTGCTGGTGAGGAGTGCTCATATTAAACTTGCCAGAATCGCATTTGGTGGTCACTATAGAAAAGTTACAACATCTACCTGGAGGACTAGACCTTGTTTGCATGTTATTAAAGAGTTGCAATATCTTGTTAAAAAGAGAAATATGTACTGCTGAATTTTAAAATTAGGGGATATAGTGACTGTGTTCGTATTTGAAGGTGTATAGGCAAGAAACAGTGTCCAGCCTCTACCTATCGTGTGTGTTTGAAGGGTGACAGAGAAGGATTCACCTTAACTGAATAGCAATCTCTAGCAGTAGGAAGAAGCCTCTTCTCAGAAATTCACAGCAGCTGGGTTGATTGGTTTTTTTGTACCAGAGAATTAACGAGGGTTTTGTTATGTGCTGATTCTGCTGAGGAAAGTAGGGAATGAAAGTAACCTTACAGACAGGCATCGAGCAGTTATGTTGGTTAGCAAGAGAAGGTAGCTGCTAGCTAAAGAGTGGAGCTGTGCAATGAACCAATGAGCCATCCCCAGTTAACAGTCAGCTCCGAGACCACAAAGGGTAGCAGCCTAGAGAAGTGGGAGAGCTTCCCAGCCCAAAGCAGCTCTGTAGTCACCTTCACTGGGGTAGGCGTCAGCATTCCAGATCCTGTGTGTCCCTTTGGGGTAAGAGACCATCCTGCCGCAGCGAGGAAGAGAGTTGCAGGATGAATTGTGCAACAGCAAGGGGTGAGCGGGCGAGGTTAGGGGCCCAGCAAGGTAGCTCTAGATGCAGAATTGCTCAGCAGTGGGAAAGATGATATAGGCAGGAGGGAGGAGCCTTTCTTTCCATTTCCATTACCTTCAGTATTATTGTTAATTATTTAGATTTCACAGGCTGGTGTTTTGTCTTATCTGTGAAATTCTGCTTCTTCAAATGCCCCTGCGTACACTCATGCCTTGTAAGGGGTGGGTGGGCAGGGGCAGACCTCCGCTTGTTACCCAGTTAGTGGGGTTTTCCTGGTTTCTGGGTGCAGAACTAGATGAATGCCAGTGTTTCTGAAGGAGCCCTTTGAAATTGAATCCAGACATCTCTTACCACTAAACAGGGCCTAGCACATTGAATTATTCAGATGCACTACTAAGTCTGCACACCATACAAGCTGAATTTCTCCTATAGTTGCTGGTGATTCCTTCAGCATGAAGTCGGTCACTATCCAAATTTCACTTTCAGTCATGCTTTTCTTTTGGATGAAGCAATCAGCCCTGATCACCAAGGCTAAAACCATTTTAAAGCAGCTGTGGGTGGTTACAGGATGTTTGCTCCTCAGGGACATGGTTTCTTTCTGGAGACCACTAAGGGTTCCTCTATGTATGAATCTTATTGTTTAAAACAAAGCTCTTAATGGTTGGAAAGACTTCAGGTGCTATTTCTGTATCTTTCCAGAGTCTGAATTTCCATTTCATCATCTGTAAAACTGGAATAATACTGACTCAATTCAGAATCTTGTATTGTATAAAGAAAGGTTTGAAACTAGATTCATAAAGGAGATATCAGAAGTTGTATCTGACGTTTAGGCTTTAGTGACATTTACAGATCACTTGCTACCATAGCCCTGTGGACATCTATATTCCTAGAGCTAAACCCCTAATCCCTGCAAAGGGTGGGATGTTGTATAATATGGAAATCATAGTCTTACTACGAGGGATCCTGTTGTTGAATGACAAAATCCATGCTGAGCAGGCAGCGCTGGCATCACGGTGGTAAGTCCACTGAAAGCAAGGTATCTTCCTTCACACAGTGTTCACGCCAACGGAGAGCAGGCAGGCTGGCATAGAGCGGCAGGACTCGTACTGCCCCAGAGGCCCCCAGCCACTGTATTTCTTTTAAAGTGCCTTTAAAATGGACCTTAACTCAGCTAAAAGCATGGAGTCTCAGAAGCCTGTTCTTACTGAAGTCATAGTAAAGAGCTTCCTACTTTATGTACCACGAAGCCTGTTTCTGAGCAAACACGGACTCTTTCCAGTACATTGCTAATTATGTCTCTACATTAACCAGTGTCAGCTTGAGTGGCATAAATTTTATTATGAATACTTGTTTTCAGTGGACTCAGTCAATTCTGTGTATCAAATGTTTAGCTGGACAAAAACCTTCATAGTGTTTCCAGTCACTCAGTAAACAAATGACATAAAAATAACATATGATGCATTTTCTTAATGTACTGTTTTGAAAATTACTTTAACGTCTGCTTCCTAAGCGTAATCAGAGAAAAAGCGGGATCGTTGATTTCAGTGTATCTTTACTAGATTCCGTTAGCTATGTTTCCTCAATACAACAATTGGTAAGATTTTATCTTTTGTGGAAGTAGCAAAGCCACACAGTGTGGTCACATGAAAATTTAAAGTTGTCTTAATGCAAGTAACGATGACTTAGAATACTTCTTGGAGGAGGGGAAAAAAACCCCCAACCAAACAACAAAAAACCCCAAAACTTTTAAAACGGTGAGTGTGACGTTTAAAACTATGGCTACATCCTTTGGAACATGCATAAAATAAAGATTATGGATGTCTGTTTAGAAACAAATGTCAAGTTTACATTGTGCAAGCTCAGAAGAGTAAACTCTGCTTTTATACCAATGAAGTGTAAGATGGAGAAGTCACCAATCAAAGGGACATTTAAAAACCGACTCTGGTTTTCCTGTCTGTTGCATTCCTTCAACCTGGTGCATGCAATCAGTTCTCCCCTGGTAACTTTAGTTATGAAAGGCCAGAATTCATCAATTTTGATGAATGCTGGCCAACTCTAAAAGGAAGCAAATGGGAAATACCCAAATTCCAGATAATAGTTTGCAGACCCAGTATTTCTGCCTCTGGAATTGTCCTTAACTCTAAGTTCTGGCATGCACATTGCCACTCTGCTCGCCCTTCTAGGTTTGCAAATATTGCTGCTCCATGCAATAATACAAAGAAGAAACTTGCATACTTCGTTGAGCTACAAAAAGAGCGTTCCCGATAGTACAGGGACCCGATGTTACCAAGGGAAGCCAAACTGTCTCCAGCATATTGGAAGGATTGTAGCTGTGTCTTGGGTAAGACAAAGCAGAGAAAAACAAGGATTTTTGTCATGGGAGAAGGCAGAGCCAGAATGCCTTGAGGAAGCACCATATGATGTAGTGACATCTTCAGGTCCTGTTGAAGTGGACTGAAGAGACCTAGACCCATGTGCCTGCGCCAGCAAGAGTGTCTCTGTGGATAAGCAGTGCCTTTCAGGAGTTCAGAACAGATGAAACAGAGCAACCTTCAGTAAGCTGTGCTCTTTATGTCTTAGTTCCTCCGCCTACTGAGTGCACCAAGCGCGTATGGAAGGGTTCTCGG